CATTCATGTTCAGCCACGACACTAAAAAAGCAAAACCGCTACACCTATTCCTCTATAACTATGAGTCACACAACAACTACCGCATCCTCTTCCTCTAACCCGTATCTTTATGACTTCATAGTTTTCAATTATATTTCTTGTTTCTTTTCTTCTGAGAGTCAATTTCAGACCACTGTTCCATTAATTCTATATACTCTCTTTACGACATCTACTATTGGACCTTTTCCTTTCCTTATACTTCCGTGCTGTCTAGTGTTTCCTGACCCACGTTGACCTTCTTGTTTCTGAATATCAGCTTATTTCTTCTTCATGCAACTCTCCCTCTTCTCTATCAATGGCAACAGAAGGTGTTTGACTGAAGTGTTGTGTTTACAGTCTCTCATCTCTCATTTGTCACCCTTTTCGATGCTCTCTAGCCTTACGCATGCAGCAAGTACCACTCATCTCCAATGTATGCCTTGCCATGCATCCATCTATTACACTTCTATCCTGTACACACTTCAAAAGAACCATATAGAAGCATAGCTCCAAAGAACAACCGCTCCCATCTTCCAACTCAACATCCAACATCATAATTTTTTCCCTGCTTTCATCTTCATCACTAGGAGCAACTTTTATTGCTGCTTGAAATAAAACAATCGTCTGTCAAGTTGGTGGGTGTTGGAAAGTTGCAAGCAACCAAATGCCACAAATAATGAGATTTTCAACACTTGAAGTTGTGTTGCTCTTGTGTTTTTCTCCTATGCTAGTCCTTGGTCTGGGCAACTCAGATAGTGACACTAATTTGAGAGTGCTGTTGGAAGTAAAGAAGTCTTTTGTGAAAGACCCACAAAATGTTCTGGGTGATTGGTCAGAGGATAACATTGACTACTGCAGTTGGAGAGGGGTGTCATGTGAATTGAACTCAAACTCAATTTCAAACACTTTAGATGGTGACTCTATGCAAGTGGTGGGTCTCAATCTTTCTGACTCGGCACTCACCGGCTCAATATCACCTTCACTCGGTCGCTTGCAAAACCTGCTCCACCTAGATCTCTCGACCAACAGCCTCACAGGTCCCATTCCACCTAATCTCTCCAACCTCACTTCCATAGAATCTTTGCTTCTCTTCTCCAACCAACTCACGGGTCCCATACCGACTGAGTTCGGCTCTCTCACGAGTCTCCGAGTCATGCGACTCGGTGACAATGCACTATCGGGAACGATTCCCGCGTCTCTCGGCAACCTGGTCAACTTGGTCAACCTTGGCTTGGCTTCCTGTGGACTCACCGGGTCGATTCCAAGTCAACTCGGTCAACTCAATCTCATGGAGAAAATGATTCTGCAAGACAACGAGTTGATGGGTCCGATTCCCACCGAGTTGGGGAACTGCTCAAGCCTCGCCATATTCACTGCAGCTAACAACAAATTCAATGGCTCAATGCCAAGGGAACTGGGTCGACTCAGCAATCTGCAAATTCTCAACTTTGCCAACAATAGTATATCGGGAGAGATTCCGAGTCAACTCGGTAATATGAGCCAACTCGTTTACCTGAACTTAATGGGGAACCAACTCGAGGGTGCCATTCCACCGTCTCTAGCTCAACTTGGTAATCTTCAAAATCTGGACTTATCAATGAACAAGCTCAGTGGAGGAATCCCAGAGGAGTTAGGCAACTTGGGGGAGCTAGTTTATTTGGTTCTGTCGGGTAACAACTTTAATCGTGCCGTACCAAAGACGATATGTTCCAACGCAACAAGTTTGGAACACTTGATGTTGTCAGAAAGTGGACTTCATGGTGAGATTCCAGCTGAGTTGAGTCAATGCCAGCAACTGATGCAACTTGATTTATCCAACAATGCACTCAATGGGTCCATACCTCTTCAGCTTTATGGGCTGCTGCGTTTAACTGATCTCTTGCTAAACAACAACAGCTTGGTTGGTTCCATCTCTCCCTTCATAGGGAACCTCAGTGTCTTGCAGACACTTTCTTTGTTTCACAACAATTTGGAAGGTGTTCTGCCTAGAGAGATTGGAATGCTTGGCAAGTTGGAAATTTTGTACCTTTATGATAACCAATTGTCAGGAGCTATACCGGTGGAGATTGGTAGTTGTTCTAGCTTGCAAATGATTGATTTCTTTGGAAACCGTTTCAGTGGGGAAATTCCTGTCACTATTGGATGGCTGAAAGAGTTGAATTTCCTTCACCTTAGACAGAATGAGCTCGTGGGTGAGATTCCAGCCACCCTGGGTAATTGTCATAAACTGAACATCCTGGATTTGGCTGACAATCAACTCTCAGGTGCAATTCCTGCAACGTTTGGATTCCTCACGGAATTGCAGCAACTTATGCTCTACAACAATTCCCTTGAAGGTAATCTCCCTCACCAACTGATAAATTTAGCAAAATTGACCAGAGTGAATCTTTCTAAGAACAGATTGAATGGTAGTATAGCTGCATTGTCTGGCTCTCAATCATTTCTTTCTTTCGATGTTACCGACAACGTGTTTGACGGTGAAATTCCTTCCCAGATGGGAAACTCACCATCCCTTGAGAGGCTAAGATTAGGTAACAATAAATTTTCTGGAGAAATTCCAAGGACATTGGGAAAAATCCATGAGCTGTCTTTGTTAGACCTCTCAGGAAATTCACTCACTGGACCAATCCCAGCTGAGCTTTCTTTGTGCAACAAACTGGCTTATATTGATTTAAACAATAATTCTATTTTCGGACAAATACCATCATGGCTAGGAAGCTTGTCTCAGTTGGGAGAGCTAAAGCTCTCCTCCAATAATTTTTCTGGGCCTCTTCCATTAGGCCTATTCAAATGTTCCAAGTTGCTAGTTCTCTCTCTAAATGACAACTCCCTGAATGGAAGTCTCCCATCTGATATTGGTGATCTTGCATACCTCAATGTCCTCAGACTTGACCACAACAAGTTTTCTGGACCAATCCCTCGGGAGATAGGTAAGTTGATCAAGCTTTATGAGCTCCGGCTCTCCAGAAATAGATTCAATGGTGAGATGCCTCTTGAGATTGGAAAACTTCAAAATCTCCAAATCATTTTAGACCTTAGTTACAATAATCTCTCGGGTCTCATTCCACCTTCTATTGGGACACAGTCAAAGTTAGAAGCACTTGATCTTTCCCACAATCAACTCACTGGAGAAGTCCCTCCACAAATTGGAGAAATGAGCAGCTTGGGAAAGCTTGATGTCTCTTATAACAACCTTGAAGGAAAATTAGATAAGCAGTTTTCCCGCTGGCCAGACCAGGCATTTGAAGGAAACCAACATCTTTGTGGAAGCCCTCTTGAGAGCTGCCACCGAGATGACGATTCTAGGAATGCAGGCCTGAATGAGTCATCAGTAGTGATAATCTCTTCCGTTTCAACTTTAGCTGCAATTACACTTCTGATAATTGCAGTGAGAATCTTCTGCAAAAACAAGCAAGAATTTAGCAGGAAAGCCAGTGAAGTGAATTATGTTTACTCTTTTTCTTCATCACAAGCACAGAGAACTCCGCTGTTCCAACTAAAGGCAGCTGGAAATAGAAATTACAGATGGGAAGACATCATGGATGCAACGAACAATCTAAGTGATGACTTCATGATTGGCTCAGGAGGGTCAGGGAAAATCTACAAAGCTGAATTGGCCTCTGGAGAGACGGTGGCTGTCAAGAAGATTTCATCAAAGGATGAATTTCTGTTAAACAAAAGCTTCATAAGAGAAGTTAAGACACTAGGGAGGATTAGGCACAAACATCTGGTGAAGCTAATAGGATATTGTAGCAATAGAAACAAAGAAGCAGGTTCGAATCTGTTAATATATGAGTACATGGAGAATGGGAGTATATGGGATTGGCTTCACGGGAAACCAGCCAAGGTAAGCAAAGTAAAGAGAGGCCTTGATTGGGAGACAAGGTTCAAAATTGCTGTAGGATTAGCCCAAGGAGTGGAATATCTGCATCACGATTGCGTCCCAAAGATTATTCACAGGGACATCAAATCCAGCAACGTATTGCTAGACTCCAAAATGGAGGCACACTTGGGGGATTTTGGACTGGCTAAAGCACTAACTGAGAATTATGACTCCAATACTGAGTCTAATTCTTGGTTTGCTGGCTCTTATGGCTACATGGCTCCAGGTAGGTTAACAAACTGCCCGTCTGAATTGACTTTATCTTACATATTTTTTTCTTAACTTTAACCGCTGAACAAACTTGTTTAATATTGGCTTTATTTTCAGAATATGCATACTCCCTACAAGCAACAGAAAAAAGTGACGTCTACAGCATGGGAATAGTGCTCATGGAACTTGTTAGTGGTAAAACGCCAACAAATGAAATTTTTGGCGATGAGATGAACATGGTGAGATGGGTAAAGATGCACATGGATAAGCATGGTTCTACCCAGGAGAAATTGATAGATCCTGAATTGAAACCTCTTTTACCTGGCGAAGAGTTTGCTGCATTACAAGTGCTTGAGATAGCTGTACAGTGCACAAAAACTACACCACAGGAGAGGCCATCTTCAAGGAAAGCATGCGATCTTCTCCTCCATGTATTCAGCAACAAGATGGTGAACTTTGACAAGATGAACTTGGAGCATTACAAATGAATTTGTTTTCAGATGATTGAAACCTACTAGCTTTATGGAAAATTTATGTAAACAATACCTTATTTTTCAAACTAATTAGACTTTGAGTAGAGGCATTGGCATATTGCTGTTATTCAACAGTTCCCACTAACAGCCAAAATTGGTAAGAACGTATTATTAATTTTCAATGGTTCATGCTGAATGCTCCCGGTTCAATTCCACAGAGCGATGCTAATCAGGTCTTGAATTTATGATTAAAATCCTAATCCTTAATCCCTAATTGAAAAGTTAAAAGGAGAAGAGCTAGAAATTGGATGTTTTCCCATTTTTTCTTTTTCCATATATTCCAAATATATTGATGTTTTACATTTTATCAGCGTCTAATATTTTTCTATGGAGACTACTTTTACAATATTGAACGTTTAAAACTTTTCGTTCTGCATGTGAATTTGCTGCAGTGACATTATGCGAAGGAATGCTCGAAAGTGAAAAGTAACTAGGAATACAAATCCATAAATCAATGCACTAAAAAATGAAACGTCCAAAACACTAAGTAATATAATGAATGATTCTTCAAGGTAAGTTGGTACAGATGGTTGCTGTGGAATGGTGACTGGCCCAGAGTAATGGCACCGATTCATCGAAGAAATGAACCTGGATGGATAAAAATACTTGCTGAGTTGAACTTGAGCACTTTCCTGCTTCACGCTTTCACTAGACTTGGAGACTTTTAAAATTTAGATTAAACGATCTCAATCACCATGCTAAAAATGAAAATAACCGTTAAATAAATTTTGTAGTTTCAACACTTGAAAAATTACTGTCATTCTTAGAACAATGACACTTAGTTTCCAAAGTTCTACAAGCGATGAAACTACAAATCTCTTGGCAAATTTTATTTTTCGTAATCACAAGGCTGACAAATATTTTACAAACGTCTGGTCCTAAGGGTGGTTTTATTCTCCGAAATAAAATTACAGTGCATGCATATATAAGATAATAGGTATTGGAGTCACAGATACCAGATTTAATCTTATTATTACCAATGAAGCCACAAGGCCAGAACATTATCATCTATAACAATTTCACTGCTTGCAAATGCTTGTGCACAAAATAGGCTGATTAGCATGAAAAAATGTTTTTAACAGCCGTACAAACATAACACCACGAAATCAGAAAACAAAAGCAACAAGTTCAAAATATTTATAATGATTATTTTCATCCACTGCTACAATTCTTGAGGATATGCATTAATCATCATCTCCGTCTGCAATGCAATATCACAAATAATAAGATGTAATGAGGTAACAAAATGACAATGTAAAAACATCGAAGTAAAAGAATGACAACCCAAAAACCCCATATCCAAAGCATTCAATTACAGAGCAGTTGCAATACAAAATCATGTAAAGCATAAATACTAAGTTGATAATTAGGAACATGCTTCAAAAACTACCATGAAATTCTAAAAGCTCAAATAATTGAGCGATGGAATATATAAAATTCTTTGACTTCAAAAGTTGAAAGAGAATTAGTGAGCAATCAAATAAGAGCAAAGGAAGAATAACATTTAACCACAAGTAACACAATGAGAAACATAAGATGAATATAATTTCTTTCTGGTGCAATCAGGTCTCCAATGCAACAGATCACCAAAATTTCACCAGGCGTTACAAAAACAGTAGGTCATGTTTAAAACTGTAGAGAAGCTTATTAGCTATCACTAGTTCAAAAACTTAAGTGTTAAAATAAATCATCTGTCATGAAACAAACAAATTCCTATTACCAAATCGTCCAAGTCACTGGCTTAAAAAGGAATCATATTCTTTTGCATAGGTAGCCACCATTTCATATGAAACTACATCATGGTAGTTCAAAATCACATTATTTGGTGATTTCTATTCCAGTATTCGCTGCTTACGTTACCCTCTCTTCCAATGTAACGTTTTCACACACTATAGTAACTTAAGGCCAAATGCAACAGTAACATCTTCCTCAGATCATTCTTAACCGAAACTACTAATCCAATTCCATGGACAAAAGGGAGAGACGTGATTTAAATCCAACGATGCGCACTCAAATGCAAACCTTCTCTCTTTTTCTCACCCACATATCTAACAACCACACCAACCATAGCAATTATTAATTCAAAGCAGTTCATTTCCCCCACACCCGTATAAACCAAAATACTCACATAAATTCTAAAATGACATAAAGTATAAGCAATTGATAAGAGGAAAACCTAAAATCAACTACAATTGAGGTTTCGGGAAGAGCGACTGGAAAAAACGTTTAGAATGAAAAGAAAGAGAACCTATGTAACGTCTTTCGTTGGCAGCTTTGGCCTTTTCGAGCATCTTGTCGAGGTCTTGCTCGACCTGGGCCTCCCATTTGAGAAGCTGGTTCACAAACACAGCGCCCAAACCCATTCCCACCACATGCTCCCACGGATCTACACCAATATACATCAACCAATCAATCAATGAAAAATGGAATTAAACAAAACGCATTCACAAGAACAGAGAAAGAGAAGGATAGATACGGCGCATGTAGGGGAGTTTACGGAGAGCATTGGAATACATCTGGGTTCCTAAACCCAGCAACGCACCGATCGCGGTTGCACTCAATACCATCGTTCTTCCCTCTGTCGCTTGATTCCACAAACTTCCTCTCACAGACCAAACCTATTTCGTTCTCTCAAATCCTCGATGTTAGGGAAAAAGTTTTCGGGAAGACTATGGTCACATTCAGGGGTAATAAAGGAATTACACACTGTTGTAAAATGCTACTAAGATAAAACTTCCTTCGAAGAGTCATCACTATATTGATGTAATTTTGGATGGATGTAATTTCGAATAAAATTTAACATGTTTGATTGTTCGCATTCTAGCGAAATAAAATGATAAAATAACTTTTCCTCATTAGTGTTTAATTAGAAGACTTTTCTATGATATTAAACCTAAAAGGTAAGAATTGCTCATAAATTAGATTAGAACTTAAAGTTCAACATTAAATTTGTCTTTTTATGTCTTGCTAAGTTTTTAATTCAGTGATCTCAACAATAAACCCTAAAATAAATGGTCTTATAATGTCATATGAAGAGGGTTGAATAAAATGATGAATTTGTTAAAAATTTTAATTGAAATAAAATTAAGAAAAAATAATTTAAAATATTCTACCAATTTTTCAAAATCAAGGACATGTTTTATATCCAACAATTTACACAGAAAGAAATTAACATGTTTGAATATAACTATTATGAAACAAAAGATAACAATGTTATTAATATTTGGGAATAAAATATGTTATATAACATATTGCAAAATGATTATATATTTGGATTAAAATTAATACATGTAGCTGTTAAACCAAACTATAAATATATAAGTTTCTCTGATTGATTAATATTGTTGTACCAGAAATAATTTAATTCATCCATTCAACAAAACAAAATAAAAAATCCTTTAAAATCAAAATTAACCTCTTGAAAAACATTGAATAATAACATAGTCGAAAGGAATATTTTTCCTTAGAAGGTATAAAAATTAAGTAAAATGTTTATAATACAAATGGTCCGAAAATAGGCTGAGTTTATAAAATATTTTATTGGATGGACATAGTATTTTCAATGAAAAATGGTTCGATTATTTCGATAAGTATGTTCGAATTAATGTTTTTAATACGAATTAATTATTATTGTGTATTTTTTGTTTAGATTAATAAAAAAAATTAAAATATCTCAATATCATTTGATAAAGATATTTATAAAATTTTCTTAATTATAAATTAGATTTTTAATATTATTTTGGACATTACTTAAATATTTAATGAGACTGTTAAACTTATTCAAAAATAATAAAATTCAATAAATTAAAGTGTGACAAAGTAAATTATAGGGAAGGATAAATTGCTAAAAATATAAATGACAAAACAAATTGTAAATTGCCAAATTTCGAGAAAGAGTAAATTACTAAAAATGTAAATTATCATGATAAAGAGAAACTGAAACAAAAAATTAATGAAAATAATGACCCAAAATAATTTTATTGAAATAGTATTTTTCGTATTCGTAGCGTTTTTTATAATATAAATATCTTAATACAATTTTTCATTATCCTTATTCTCGCTTATTTGATCCTATTTATACTTATCATTTTCAATAACCAGTAAAGCACAATAAAACAAGATAAAATAAAATAAAATAAAAAGAGTTTTTCCCTTATCACATTATAGAGTTACACTAGTTGTGTATTTCTCTCGATTCTTTATAACTCCCTTTTGATAGTAATCTCCCTTGATTTTCTTATTTATTGATATTCTCTCGCCGCTATGTCTTCCCCTTAATATTGACACTATTTCCTTTATCTTATTCTTTCATTCGATTTTTCTTTACTCCTTTTTATCGATCGTCAACTTTATTTGACCATCAACTTTGTCTCTATATTTGATTCCTTCTTTCGATTTTCTGAAAGTGATGAAGATCTTATTGAAATACTCTGGCAAAGATCTTATTGATTTGATGAAGTCAAAGATAAAGTCAAAGTCAACTTTGTAGCGGTCAACAGTCACTTAGATAAAAGAATAGAGGGATTAGTGTGTCCGCAGCTATGCTTAGGTATAATCATTTTTATCTTTTCTGCTGCATGAGGTTTCTTCACTTAAAAGATTTTGCAAAATGCCTCTAAAACACGTTTAAGCAGTTAAAAACAAAGTATTTTAACAAAAGCTTTCTTAAACAAGTTTTTAACTGATATAATTTCAAATTAACCGGTTATTTTCATTAAAGAAAGTTTTGAAAACCTTCTGTCAGTGTTTTAACTGATAAAGCTTCGAAAGAACCGATTAAAATCACTTAAAATGTTAAGAGAAGCATTTTTGCAGTATTTTAATCGATACAACTTGGTTTTAATCAATTAAATCCACTTAGTGTTCAAGATGATCGATCAGAGTGCAATTATTACCGATCAGAATCAGATATGATCGATCAGAATTGAGTTATGACCGATCAGAACTTTTTCAATCGATTAAAACACGTTTCAATCGATTAAAACAACTTAGTAAATTTCTACACAGCGTTTTAATCGATTAAAACTTATTTTTATCAGTTAAAATCACTTGGAAAATTTTACAAGAAAGTTTTGCAGTATTTTAATCGATTGAATCACGAAACAATCGATTAAAACAAATTAGAAGATTTTTTGTAAAGAGTTTTAATTGATATAAACGTTGTCGTATCGGTTAAAACAAATCATGTTAAAGAATCAAGAACGTTTTAATGGATTAAAAGAAGTTTTAACAGATTAAAACTACACTTTTAACAGATTAAAAGATTATTTTAATAGATTGATTAAACCAGCAGTTTTGAAAATCTTCTATAAAAACATATTGGCTTGAACTTTTTAAACATCATCGAATAGCAATCTTTTACACATCCTTTAGCAATCAAGCAAGCAAACTTTAATACTTTTTCAAGAAAGATTCGCGCTAGTTTTTGTGAAGTTCTTTGAAATTCTTTCTTGAGGCAAATTGCTTTCTTTTGGAGAAGAAACAACTTACTGCAGAATTGCATAAAACTGGTTTGAGCATTCTAGTTTCTTCTTTTCAATTCTTTACATTCTTTTTGTATTGTTTGGTGCCTGGAATTGTGGGCACTGGTTTCTCTGCAGCTGGAATTTGGTTGTAGAGGTTGTCAAGAACTGGAATTTGGTTCTTGGTGAAAGGTTAGGTGTTGGTGCCTAGAATTGTGGGCACTGGTTTCTCTGCAGCTGGAATTTGGTTGTAGAGGTTGTCAAGAACTGGAATTTGGTTCTTGGTGAAAGGTTAGGTGCAGGAACTGGAATTGTGGTTCTTGTGGTAGATTAAGTGTAAGATTGTAATCTGTAAAACATTTGATCTACTGGAACCCAGCTGAAATTTGGCTGGAGACTGGACGTAGCCCTGGTATTGGATGAACCAAGTATAAACACCGGTGATATCTTTCTAAACCTTTCTCCTCTTTTAATTCCGTTGTTGCGTTTATTGTTGATTGATTGCTTTGTGATTCAAGAACAGATCTCGAAATCTTATTTTTACAAATAGATAATCCGTTAATTGCGAAAATCTTTCAAAGATCAATTCACCCCCCTCTTGATCTCAGCCTTCTTTTCTAACAATTGGCATCGGAGCGAGGTTCTTGAGAGTTATTCAAGTTCTTCGATCCATGGCTAAAAACAGATTACCGTTTTCTGAGGGAGCTTCTATTAACAGACCTCCACTGTTTTGTGGAAAAAATTATCCTTTTTGGAAAATTAGGATGAAGATCTTTATTGAGTCTATTGATAGAAATGTTTGGGATGTAATTGCTAATGGCTCTTTAATTACGGAAAAAGAATGGTCCAGTTTAAATGATGAGGAAAAGAAAAAAGTTCAAAATGATTGCACTCGCTAAAAATATAATTACTTCGCACTTAACATGGATGAGTTTTTCGGGGTCTCCCAATGCAAATATGCCAAGGAGATGTGGGATGTTCTTGAGGTTACTCATGAAGGGACAACAGATGTAAAGAGAGCCTATGTAGCATGGGATGACAATGACACTTAATCAACAGACAATTCTGATAATGAAGAAGCCAACCTGTGTCTAATGGCAAATCAAAACCTTCAATCCAGCAGTGTAAGTTCTAATTCTTCTTCAAATTTAGTGAACTATAATTCATTACAAGAAGCATTTAATGAAATGCATGAAGAGGCCAAGAAACTGCAAAAAGAAAATGATAGGCTAAAAGGATTGAATAATTGGTTAGTAAATAAAGTAGACTCTCTTGAAAAGAGAATTCTTGAAGATGAAACTGATTGTGATTTCTTAAAATTAATTCATGATAATTCGATTGTGCATGTAATAAACCCTGTAATAATTGTTCAGAATTACAAAAGAAAATTGATTTTTTATCACAAACTGTTTCAAGGTTTACACAAGGTCAAGCTAATCTTGACGTTTTACTTGGGTCACAAAAACTAATTTTTGACAAATCTAGCATAGGATTTAAATCTAGGATGAAAGTCAGAAAAACAAATGTAAATAAGAAATCATACTCTGTAATTAAATGTTTTTACTACATGAACAGAGGTCATTCAGCGAAATACTGTAGATTTAAAAAGTACGCTATTCCTAGAGGAAGAATGAAATGGATTCCAAAGTTAAAGTCATTTCAAATAACCTAATTGGACCCAGTAATTATAAAGGGTACCAGAAACATGTTAAATTTGTTTTGCAGGAACAAAATCTGGAAATCCCTTGGTATTCAAAACTGCAAATCAGGTTATGGTTTCATTAACTGAATATTTTAATTGATATAAAACAAGTATTAATTGATTAAAATATCTTACAGAGAATATCAGAAAATCTGTCCATACAGTTTTAATCGATTGAAATGTGAATTAATCAATTAAAATGTTCTCAGGATTTGAGTTTAACTGTTTTAAATCGATTAAAAAGAAATTCATATCAACTAAAAACACTAAGATGTCAAATTTAATCGATTCTTTTTTGTTTTAATCGATTTAAATTCTGTTATCATTTTATTAATTTCATTTTGTACAAGACTAATCGATTCCTTTATGAATTAATCGATTATTTCACTGTAGTATACATTAG